TTTAGTGATGATTTTTGTCTGTGATATGTTAACCATTGGACTCGATCTTAAAGGTCCTAGATGATGCTATGATACTATGATTAACTTATCATTAACTGGAATGAAACCTTTTGACTGCATACACACTTGAGGTGGAAGTTTTCAAAGGATCAAGTGAGGTTTTTTTTCACCAGACCCACTGCAGTCAGCATGAAGGCAGCTTCTCAAATCCCTCTGTGGGCTACTGACTTTGGACTGTCTACATACACAAAGTTTTCACGGCTGCTTCCCACTCCTTTATGTATTTTTCTAACATCAAAGGAGTTTGAGGCTTTTCACATCTTCCAGCTGTCTAGCCTCTGTGAATACAGGATTTGGAGCTGATACATTATCATTATTACTAGCTGTTACTTGGAACCATACTGATGGACCCTGACTCTGTTGTCCTACATACTGTAAAATGTGAGACCAAAAAGATGGTTTGTGATCCCAAACACCTTATGGTCCTTCCAGACAAATGAATGAAGCCAGGAATGTTACAGAAGAGCTCAAAACAAAGAGACAGATCTATAACTAATCATTAACAGTTGTAATGGATGCTGAAGAAAAAGAATCAGCGAGAACAGAGGATTAACTCTCACGTGGGTTAAAAGACTTTTAAAGCTAAATATGTCCCTGCAAGGACACTATAAAATGTTTACTATGGAATTTATTGCTTTGCTTGTCTCCATTAGTTCAATCTCATATATAATGAACCACGTTCAAATGCAAAACATGTTTTTCTAACTGTAGGCTCTGCCCGACCAGACTGGGCTCTAACATGAAATGGGTGCATTTCTCTTCCCCTCAGCGTTAGCTGTAAAAATTGCAGGACAAGGTGGGACCTTGGATATTTTCTTCCAGTAATGTACTTAATAACATTTCCAATATTCTGCCATCGGTATCAATCTGAAATTAAGCTATGCCTACATTGTAGACTTCTGCTGGCATAGCTTTGTGAGCCACTGGTAGGAAAATGTCTTCCAGAAGCTCCTGTTGTACGCTCATTTGCATTTAAAAAAAAAACAAAAAACCAACCAAAACCAAAAAACAAACAAGCCAAACGCAAGAAACTCAGAGCTTTTAGCTCTGTTTAGCTGTTTAGTTTGTTTAACTCAGAGGTAATCAGATAAAGTATACAATATATAGCTTTCACAAGATAAGCTCTATCCTTTGTAGGAAAGAGTTGTGCTATGATACACTACTGTAGGAATACCTTTAAATCATTCCTAGTAAAGACATGGCCCTCAGTGAACAATTCTGTTGATGATACACAGAACAGACTGGAGTTTGCAGCGTAGATGTATTGAGTTGGTAGCACTAGTTAACATCCAAAGAAATTGGAATGTTCTTTGTTTCCAAAATCACTAGATTTAATATTGAATTATTAAAGAAACAGATCTGTTGATGTGTTTATGCTCCTTTTTTTCCTGCGTTAAGCTTCATTTTAATACACCACTGCTGGAATATATATATATATTGATATATATATCAATGATATAATACCGGTGCACAAGGTAGGAGTCAAGGCAGGAGAAATCCATAATTAGATTTTTCTCAGTACATCCATCTTCATTTATCCAAGAGGCCAAAGTCATTATTATTTACTCAAGAATCTCCTTGGAGAGTAGAACTGCGAAGATTTACTGCATATTACGAGAAGCTGCAAGTATATTGAAGTTCCCTAGTTCAATTATTTGTCCCTTTTACATTTGATTAAAATAGGAAGAAAGTTATACCAGTACCTATATGTTTGATTTCTGATGATATCTTCCCTGTCCTAAATTGTTCCTGTAATGGAAAAGGAACAACTGTATTTCATTTCTTCTCTCACGCTTTGTTTCTTCTTTCACCAGCTGATATAAGCTTACCTTTGTGTTTGGAATGAGAAGATAATCAAATTTGTTAAGAACTTCATGACAGAAAGTCTCAACTAGAGACGTTGTACTCTTCACAGATGTCTTTGTGCTCAGGGGAGATCGAAGTTTGATGCAGCAAACCACATCTCTTTGTAGATAGTGGCACCACAGACCAGTTTGGATTCATGAGTGCTTGCTTTATCTTGAGCTTTTAGAGCAAACCACTTTTTCAGAATCAGTCCTATGAGTCATAGTGCAAAGGCATTTAATTTTTAATTTTAAATTTGATTGTCCTGGTTAATGTGAAACAGCTGCTTAGCAAAGAGCCTTATTCAACAAAAACAGCACTATGCACATATACAAAAAAAAAAGGAAAAAACCCCTAGTTTACCCTAGATTACTTAATCTCACTTAATCGTTGTTTTTTCTTGATAAAACATATCAACAAAATACTCCATGAATAAATGAAAGCTATAATAAAGCCCACTAGCTATATTTCCATATAAAAGTTGTTTAAATAAGTGATTTATTTTATTTTCTCTAAAATACAGGCATTAGCAGATGCTATAGATGTGCCTAAGAATGGGGATTTAAACCACTCAGATATCAGGTAAATGTATCTAACCTGCTGTAAAGTAAAACCCGAGAACACGCAGTTCTTCCTCCTACTCAAATATTAGTAATATTTTGAGTTATTTTATCTTAATCATATCCAAAGCCTCAGCATGGGTTGAAGTCTCACTGTACAACACAACTGCTGTCCAGATCTACCATCCTGCTCCTTGTCCCACAACCCAGCAAACTGCAACGGGCCACTGCACTCATCAAGGTCATTAAGGCTGATTGCACAGCACCAGGTACTGGCATTAGTGAATCCGGCTGTAGAATCAGGGCCAAGTTTAAGGCAAGCCATAACTAATGAACGTCAAGAACAGTAAGCCAAAGAATGATAGATTTTTAAATGATGCAGTTAACCCCCAAGCCATCAATCAATTACAAATGGGAAAATGCACAGGGGACTCCCATGAGCACGGGCTCTGGGTCCTCTAAAATGAATGTCAATGAAAAAAGAAGCCCTTTCCCTGCAAAGGCTGGTGGGACTAACTTTAGGGAAACAACATCAGTGGAAGAGCACGCGTTTCAGTACTGCCTGTAAGTTTTTAGCAAGTGCTTAATGTTCTTACTTTAAAAACATACCTTGCATAAACGTTCAGACCATGTTAGGTAAAAAATAAATCCTCATTTTTTTTTTAATATGATTTTGATAAATATCTACTTTGGGAGTTGGGGAGCTGTTTGGAGAGGGGATTGTTTCATTTTGGTTTATTTTTGTAATTTTGTTCTGTTTCTTTTGACCTTTACAATATCCTGCTTAAAAAAATATATGTTTCTATCTACATTTTTTTACTTTTAAAACATCTATTAATATCCACATGTTTTCCATTATGTGAATGAAACCTTTTATCAAACCGTGCTCTCAGAAAACATTTTGGAACCTTCAGAGAACAACATAAGCACATTTCCAGTCTAAGGTAGAAAGCTCAGCAGCCAGCTTTTGCAAAGGCAATTTATGTAGCAATAGTATAGTCACAAAAGGCTTAAATTTTCTCTCCAACAAGAAAAAAATGTTTATGGCTCTCACACAAAGGTTTTATAGAAGAGATGCAACCTCATATCTAAGAACATGCCAGTTCAGTACAATGACTCAGAAATGTAAGGGTTAATGTTTGTATTCTTCATCAACAAAATGCTGCTACAATTTAAAAACAGACAGTCTTGAGAAATCCTTGCACATATCCATAAAGAGCGTGCAGGAATCTGAAGCGAGCCCTGTAATTTCTCAAAGAACTTACAAGTTTTCAACAAAATAATTTTGTTGAAAAAAAGAAGTTCTGCGGGCATATACGTGCTTGCTTTGATGCAGACTAAATTTGTAGTCAAAGCTAGGAGAGAGCTAAAGTCATTCATCTGAGAACAGACAGGACCTCATGGATTGTTTCTTATTCTGAATCTTGGAGAGAAAAAAAAATGTTTACACTCAGTCTTCCGTTTCTCAGGAATCCCACTGACTACCAGGTTACTACTACCCTGGGCTCAGTTGTCCCTCCTGGAGCCGTTCATCAGCAACTGCAGAGCAAGACAGGAAAAAAAACAACTTAACTATCCTAAAAACTGCATTAAATACACTGAACCCCTGTATTAACTATGCTTAAAAATATAAGCAAATTTCTGTGCTACTCACACTAAATATGTTCTTGCTCAGAGAAGTCATTACCTATGCAGAGCCCAAATGTTTCCTGCTGCCCAGTTTCCCTTCCATTGTCTCACTACTTCCATCTCTTAATAACCTGGAGCCCTTGCTGGAGAAAGCAGAAGAGGGTGAGTGGGGAGGGACAACGAGGACAGGGGAAATAGAAATCTGCAAGTTTAAAGGTTGCTCAGACCTAATCCCAGGACTGAGACCAGAGAAGAGAAAAACTCTCAAAGATTAATTTATTGAGAATTTCCTTGTGAACAGTAATGGCTTAAAATGAAATACTGAGTTCTGCTCCTATTGGCTTTACAGATGCCCAAAATTGGACCTCATAATTTTACAATGTCCCCTCTTTCCCTCCCCTTGCCTACTGTACTTGGTGACTTGGTTGAGCCTACATAGACCAGAGGACACCATCCAGCCAGGACCTGTAACCTCCCTTTCTGTATGTATTTTTTTTAATAGCTGCCAGGAGCAGAAGCAGGTCCCTGACCTTCCCTCAAAAATTGTATTAAAAAGATGCACATCTTAGTAATTTTTCTTTTCCCTATTGAGTTCTTACTAGCTCTTACTACAATAGTGGCACTCACAAATACCTTCATGCCAACAGTGAGTGGTTGGAATCAATTCCCACCTTGGTTACAGAAATATTCATATGGTCTTCAGTGAACTTTGGGTCAGGCCTCTCTTTTGGAATAAACCTGTTAGAAGACCAGACCAATTCTCTCAGCGGCTGTAGCCCTCACAGCAAATCAGCAGTTTGAAATGTGGAGCTACGTGGAAATCTACCCAATCTCTCTCTTCCCTGGCTTCACAAGTGGGAGCTGTTGATACCTGCACGGCTCTTGGTACGAGGCAGAGCAGAAGAGCGTAGTAAGTTAATAATCCACAAGCCATTCAGAAACGTCGAGGGCAGAGACACCGACACCAGGGAATCATATGTCTGCATCAAGCATCTAGCAAATTGTTTACTTGGAGGGCTGACGAGCAACGCACAGATGAACCTCTGAAACAACTCCTTGGCAGGTAAGGCTGCTAACGTACTCTTAATAAATAGTGCTGTGTTCTCATCATCACTATATCTTTTCCCCAAACGTACTCGCAGCAGTTTATCAACATTATATAATGCAGGGAGAGTTCGGAGCAAGGATAAAAGAGTTGATAGCCAGCTTCTGGTGTGCTTGTTTATTTGACACACTTGATTTACAGGTCTCCTGTTTACACAATGCACTTTGAGCTGCCGTTTCTTTTATTTTTAATGTTAAAATAATTACTCTTGATCCTAAATAAACATCCGTGAAATCCTTTAGGTTGCGGGAGCGGGTTTGAAAGACTGCTTTTAATAACTACTCCAGCGTACGGTTTATTTCTCATACAGTCAGTAATTATTGTACTCTCTCTGTTTTCCTCTTGTTTACCGCCTTTTTTTCCCTACCACTGCACGGTTTTGTTTCCTCCTGCCGGGTGGGAAAAAAAAAAAGAAAGAAAGAAAGGAAAAAAAAAGGGAAGAGCGGGATGGGCAAGCGCTACCAGCGCTTTTCCCCCGGGGAATGGGGGGGAGCGAGGAAGAGGGAGCTGGAGACCTCCTGCCCTTCAGAGGAGCAGGTCGCCCTTCCCGGGGGAGAAGTGTTGGGGGGGGAGGGATGAGGGATGCCGCGGGGACGCGCCGGCGGGGCAGCAGCGCTCCCGCGCCCGCCGCAACCCCCGGGGGCTCCGGGGCCACCC